TAAATGACTAATGGGTGGGTAGCATGTACAGTGTGGATACACTACATAAAGGAATGATTCACATCCTGGGTGCGATGGAGTGGAATGGCATGCAATTTAAAACTTAAGAATTGCTTATTTCTAGAATTTTCTGTTTAATGTTTTTGGATATAGGTAACTGAAACCATGGAAAGGGAAACAACAGATAAGGAAGACTACAGTATAAAGCTATAACCACTTAGTCATTTAGGATTTCATAGATCTATAGGTAACCAACAAATAAAATACTATACTGCCAGAAATAATTAATCTGTAGGATTGGTAGGTAAGATTATTAGATAAAGCAGACAAAATTATAAATAATCTTGAATTTAGGAAATTTATGCTTGATAATGACCTTAAATGGAAAACTATAAAAATCATGGACTAAACGTAGCATAGGAACCAGATGTTTATCTACCTCAGAGTTAAATATTTTAATATGCTGAGCAAGCAACCCAGATCATCAGATGTGTTAATGGAGGGTGAGAAAAATCTGAAATATGTGGTATAAAAGGGAGACAATAATTACTAATTATAGATGCTAAGCTAATTGTAATAGGGAGAAATTGAGTGAAAATGAGATCTCTGTAAAAGATGTAATTATACTCATAGCAATATTAACCACAACTGTCAAAAGGTGAAAAAACCTAGGTTTTCATCAATGGATAAAATGGATAAACAACAACAAAATATACATATATATATATTTCAGCCTTAATGAAGAAAGTTCTGATACATACTACAACATAAATGAACATTAAAACATATGCTATTAGAAGCAAGCCAGTCACAAAGGAAAAAATATTACAGAACTCCACTTCTACGAGGTACCTAGTCACATTCAGAGAGACAGAAATTAGAATGGCGCTTGTTAGGAGTTGGGAAAAGAATGATAGGTTACTGCTTAATAGCTATGGAGTTTCAGCTTGGTATGATGAAAAAAATTCTAGAGATGAATAGTGTTGATGGAGGCATAACAATATGAATGTACTTAATGGTACTGAACTGTAGACTTACAAATGGCTAAACTAGGTAAATTTTGTTATGCATGTTTTTCTACAATAGAAAAAAAATGTGACATCTGCATATTTCAAAATGCTGCATTGTAGTGTGGAACAAGCCTCCCTCACTCATTTGGAGATTTCCTTGATAGCTCCATCTGCCCCAATTCATTTGCAATTTTAAATGTATCTTGGCACAGTGAAGCTATGAGAAAAGGAAAGAAACAAGTCTTGAATACCAATCAAGCAATAAGCACTGTATTTTGTAGTAATAATACATAGATAGAAAAGACAAAGCGATAGCACAAAATTTGAAATGTTAACAGTGCTTTCCATAAAATATGGGGCGTGCCAGGGGGAATGCATGCTTAGGCTACAAAAACACAGAAGAGCAAATCTTGGCTCTTTGCTTTTGAGATTTCCCAAAGATAGCTGTGATAAGTTCATTGCTTTTTACAATTCTGTCAAAGTATTGCTAATGTATTTCATAGTTTTAAGATAATTTTAAAGTTGTAATAGTTTTCCTGTCTATAAAGTAATTTCTAATTGCTGATAAGTATCTACCCCATTAAATTGTTATTAAAAAAAAAAACTAATGAAAACAATAGAAATGAGAGTGCTAATTAGGAAGTTCAAAACATTTCTTAAAGTTGTTCTTGCATTAGCTTATCTTGCAATATTTGGAAATGAGACTGAAACACCATGTTGAAAACCACCAATTCACTTTTATTAATTATACATAACGATGACAACTGTTTGAGGTTTATTACTTTAATTTAAAAAAGATAATTAGATGTTTATATTCAAACTGGCTACAAGACCAATGAGTTCAGGAAAGAAAATGAGGAAAAGCAGCCATCTCCAACCCTCATCACCCTACTCAGTTCTCATCCCCTATGTATGCTGACTGAGGGGAAGGGGAAGAGGTGACTGCAAAGGGAGGTTAGGAAAAGTATTAGGTCTAGTAATAATTAATGTCGTTTTCTAATACTTTTTTAAAATCGAATTTATTTAAACAATACAACAAAATTTAATCAACAATATAGTTGCCGTTGTTTTCTACTACTTGTGCCCAACGCTCAGGAAGCATTTTAATCCCTCTGTTGTAAAATTCTTGTGATTTTGATGCAAAAAATTCGGTCAATGCATTTTTGAGGCATTCTTCATTATTAAATTTTTTTCCAAGAAGAAAGTTTTGCAAAAAACGGAACAAATGGTAATCGGAAGGGGCAATATCAGGAGAATATGCAGGTTGAGGGAGAACTTCCCATTCCAACTGGCGCAGTTTTTCAGCAGTGATTCTTGCAGTATGCGGTCATGTGTTATCGTGGTGAAGAATTACGCCCTTCCGATTAATCAGCGAGGGTTTTCTCTTAAAGCTTGGGCTAACCTTTCCAATTGGGCACTATACACTGCACTTGTAATGGTCTGGTTAGATGGTAAAAGTTCATAATGAAGAATTCCTTTAAAATTCCACCAAACACACAACATCACTTTTTTCGCTTGCAAGTCAGGTTTTGGCGTGGGCTGCGGAGCCTCATTTTTGTCCAACCATTGAGGCCGCCTTTTCAAATTAACATACAACACCCATTCTTCATCTCCGGTAACAATTTGCTCTAAAAACGGCAAACGGTTTTGACGAGAGAGGAGCGAACTGCAAATTGTGACTCTTTGATTACGGTTGTTGTCGGTCAACTCATGAGGAACCCATTTTCCAAACTTTTGGACTTTGCCAAGTGCACGCAATTGATTGGAAATTGTTTTTTGTGAACAATTTAAAGTTGTCGCAAGCTCTTGTTGGGTAATTTGAGGATTTTGCACCAAAAGAGCTTGAAGAGCTTCTTGATCAAAATTGGACACACAGCCTCGACCACTCTTGTCATCTAACGAAAAATTTCCCTCGCGAAATTTCTCAAACCAACGCTGGCATTTTCTGGCGCTAACTGCATCTTGACCAAGAGCACTACAGATGTTTTTTGCAGCCTCACTTGCTTTTCTTCCTAATTGGAACTCGTAAAGCATGCAGTGCCGAAAATGCTCTTCATCCGCCATCTTCTTAGCCCTAGTTTTGCAACAAAAACCAAACCAAACACAAACTTTTTCAAGCAAAACTTGTTAATTGCACTTCACAAGTTCTGTAGATACCACGTGTTTGAAGGTTATGTCAATACAAGTCAACGCCAAACAAGATTTTAAACGAATGTTAAAAAACGACATTAATCATTACTAGACCCGATACGAAGTGAAAATGGCATGTGACTTCTTAAATCAGAAAGCAGACAAAAGGAATTCTTTGTAGCCTTAAAAAAAAAAAAAAAATCCTATTGAAGGATAGATTCTTCAAGAGCACTTGGATCCTAAATAACATTAAATTGTGATACTGGGAAGTACTTTCTAACAACAAACTAGTTATGATGGTGACTCATTCACCTTATAAATTCCTCAGGCTAGAGAAGATAGATAGGTAAGAGTACTGCTAGTGATGTGAGCAGCAAAAGGGAGAACGAATACTAACATGAATGTGCATAATGAAATGACTCGCAGCAAAGAAATTGCAGCAGCTGAGCAAACAAAAGAAATCTCTGAAAGGTAGAATAAAATATTTCAAACTCAGAGTAACATTCAGCAGTTTCCGATTTATAAGTGCAAGCTGAGCAGATTACAAACATCACAAACGAAACTTTTGTCTGCTGTTTAGAACAGGGGTTAGGGCAGGGAAAATTCATTAGTCACTTCAAAACTCATGTTAAGAGGGTTTATAAACTTTCTATGAGGCAAAATGATTCACTGTTCAGTTTCCTAAGAACACAAGATTATGTTATGACTTATTACAGATTTTAAGTTATAAACATCATAGCAATCATCTCTAAAAGTCAGATATGTCTTTAGTTTAATATTTTTGCAACTTCGGTGTGGGAAATGGAAAATATAATGAAACTACAATCCCTGCCTTTGACCAAAACTCCATTTGCAATGTACATTTAACTTGAGATGATCCTTTCAGGAGTGTTTTTTTCCAGTTCAACAAATGTTTGATTATTATCTCAAAACAGTAAAGGAAGAGTTCCTGAGATATTTGCTTGGAGAAACAAGAATTGGATCTGGAAGTTTTAAGCTATCCCATAAAACCATCTCAATGTTTCAGTAGCTTAATACAAAACTTTTTTTTCCTTACTCACAGAATGGTCCAACAGTTGTCTTTAATCAGGCTTTTTTCTTCCAAGTGACAAGATCAAAAAGACCGTTTTGTGTGTCTACCTTCCTCATGATCTTCAGTTTCCTCTCCATTTAGCCAGAAGTCAGAGAAAAATAGAGAAGTGTGGATTTCATAAGCAGGTTTGGATATAGTATATCATTTCTGTCCCCATCTACTTGGCTACAGTCCAGACATAATGGCTTCATCTAACTCCAAAGGAAGGTAGAAAATGTAGCAGGGCTGAGTGAATTTGGTGAACAACCAGTAATTTGAACAACTTATCTCTTCATAGACAAAGATTTTTTTATTTCCTAAAGTTTAGTCTTCTGTGAAAACAAAAGATTATATGGCTATCTTACCTAATAATGTCTGCTTTCCAGGACTGTGTGTGTGTGTTTATGTATAAAAGTAGAAAATTACCAGGATATTACTACAGATAAATGAAGCAGAATCCTATTTAATAAAATAGTATGCAAATTGACCATCACCCCAACATACAAGATGGCTACCCCCATGTGGTCAAAGATGGCTGCCATAAGATGGCTGGCAGGGGGGGCAGTTAGGGGTGACCAGGCCAGCAGAGAAGGGAAGTTAGGGTGACCAGGACTGCCCCTACCCCCTCCCTTGCCAGCCTGTTTTCTCCCAGCTGTCCTCCCCTGCAGTCCTGGTCACCCTAACTTCCCATTCCAACTGGCGCCGTTTTTCAGCAGTGATTCTGAGAAGGGAAGTTAGGGTGACCAGGACTGCAGGGGAGGACAGCTGGGAGAAAACAGGCTGGCAAGGGAGGGCAGTTAGGGGCAACCAGGCCTGCAGGGAGAGGGCTGTTAGGGGCAATTGGGCTGGCAGGGTAGCAGTTAGACATCAATCAGGCTGACAGGAACCTACTGAATAGGAAGAGACTGAAGGATAGGACTGAGTATTTGAGGTGCAAGAGAGCTATATCAGGGATCATGTGGAAGGTTTGAGGGGACGTGGGGTGAACGGGTAGACTGAGTATTTATGTGCTCTTTGGGTATTTATGTGCTGCCTAAAGGAGTATCTTCAATCCTCACTGATGCCCTTGGTCAGCCATGATGAAGACCCTCAAAGACCTCTGACATCTGTCCTATTTCATACATAAACAATGGGGCCAGCATACAAAAAAACCAGCAACAACAAAAAAAACAATATGAGGGGAAATTAGGGACATCTCAGAAAAGCAAAGCAAACCATCAGCGTGCTCAAGTCTGAGGCATCTCAGTCTGAGATAGACAAGGGCCAACACTTCTTGAAACTCACAAAAAATAAAGGATCACGTGTCTCTTCCTCAAAAGGATGTTAAGTCTTTCTCACACAAATGGAGGTGTTTTCCACCAGCTTTCTCTTAGCAGTTCCCACACACCGGATCACGAATGCAATCTCTCTCTCACAGGTAGCAGTGCCCCCAAATGTCTACACACCCAGCAACAGATACACAGAGGAATGGAGACTGAGAGCAACAAACACAATTATATTGTAAAGTACAAGCTGGTCTAACCACTATGTTGTACATAGGAACCGTATAGAGAATAATACTGAACGTGAACCGGAGTTTAAAACAACATAAAACCAGATACAGGCACATGTACATACAAATGGAAATGCTAACTCACACAGACATGGGCCAATACGGATAGATATATCATCCTCTATATTCTTGGTACTGCACTTCATCATATTACTGTTTTAGTTTGCTGCCCTGTTTCGCCACATTCTGAGATCATCTTATTGACCTGTTTACTTGTTCGAGCTCGTTATGTTCCAAGGGGCCAGGGACTGGTAGCGCCAGTTCACAGCAGGAGGGCTGGCGCGTAGAAGGGCTTCAATAAACATTTAGATTGGCGATTAAAGTTCTCTCTCCGTATCTAACCACCCGCCTAAAGCATTCTCCTCCTCCCTGGATTAAGCTCAGCGTGTTTGCATCATATTGATTTGAACAAGCAACTGCTGAGGCCCCAGGCCAGGGCCCCCTACCCATTTGCACCCTCTAAATCCACACCAGTTCCGGCACTTGTCATGTTGTTGGCTTCTGAATGTGGTTCTTCCCACTATGAAGACAAATAGACAAACAGGCAACTGAGAGAGCTCAGGGCTTTTAATAAACAGAATCCAGAGCCTGCCCCACCTGGGTCTTGAAATCAGGCTGTACTCAGAAGCTCACAGTCTATCTGCAATGAGGGTGGAGCAAAGGGGTGGGGAAAGAGTAAGAGAGGGGTTAGGCCAGGGTAGGCTGCGCATGGGGGTGAGGTGATTCAATTGTAAGATAAACACCTTTCTCCCCCCACTTTCTACAGCACCATGAACAGGTGAGCTCCTAATAGAGAGGTAAACCAGAGGCCCTCCCTCCTTCCACTCCTGCAGTCCAGACACACAAGGCCCTGTGCTGGGGTCTCACCTAATCTACGATCCTTTCCTGTGTTGTTGTCCCCAGGAAGTCATGGCAAGCTTGCAAGTCCAGCAAGCGTTAGGCCCTCACCCTTGGGGAGACCTGGTATGAGCAGGGCCTAAGCCCCTTCTCCCAGATTCTCTCTCTGCCTCCATGCCTACTTGTTCCATTTCTCACACACCTTGGAGGACACACTTCCATCTCTCCCCATGCCATCCCCCGCGGCCTGCTGCCGGGATTGGGTCAGCAGCTGTGACTTATCCTCAGGAAGATCCGAATCTTGTGGTAGCTCTGCCTCTGTCTCGGGGGACTGCAGCTCACCCTGCAAGGTGTACATCAGTTGAAGGAAGGTCTGGTGCCTGGAAAAAGAGCTGGGTGTAAAGGGAGGAGCTTCAGCTGGACCACTCTGAGCCTGTAGCCCATGTGCCCGGTCTCACCTCTGCAGCTTGTCCCGCTCCTGCCCTGCTTGCTGCTTCAAGGTTCCAAGTTCCTGACACAGCTGCTCAAGCTCCTGCTGAGTTCCTGCCTGTCGCTGCCTCACCTCTGCAGAAGCTTCTGCTAAGTGCTGTAGACGCTTCTCCTACCGTGAGAATGCAGACGTGGCTCATCAGATGCTGAACCATCTCTGCCCTAACCTTCAGCCTAGACCAGTGGTCGTCAAACTGTGGCTCGCGAGCTACATGAGGCTCTTTGGCCCTTGAGTTTTTAGCAAAGGCCAGCTTAGGAGTACCCTAAGAAGTTAATAACAATGTACCTACCTATATAGTTTAAGTTTAAAAAATTTGGCTCTCAAAAGAAATTTCAATTGTTGTACTGTTGATATTTGGCTCTGTAGACTAATGAGTTTGCCAACCACTGGCCAAGATGGCACAAATAGGATAACACTCACTTAGTCTTCTATGTGCCAGACATGTTTTAAGTACTTGCTATGTTAGTTGCTTAATCATCTTAACAACTTGATTTTCTAGAGTAGGTGTTAATATTGCCTCCATTTCATAGATGAAGAAACAAGCACAGAAAGTCAGGTGACTGTCCAAGGTCATGCAGTTGTAAATAGTGATGCTAGGACTCAAGTCCATGTCGGTTCCTATACATACTACAATGCCTCATAGAAAGAAGGGAGATGAGGTTTTCCTGGCAGAGCACTTAACCCATGCGATGCCATGGTGATAGAAAAGGGTATTCTCTTAGGGGGATGGACCCACCTGTTGCAGCTTCCACTGTTTCTGGGCTGTTCTGAGTCTCTCCATAGCTACTTGCTTCTGCAGGCAGGCAAAGGAGAGGGTACAAGAGGAGAAAGAGTTTATTTTTCTGGTTGCATGCTCACCCTTTCCTCTCTGAATGTCCTTTCCTCCCCTCACCCCGGGAGCACCTTGGCCTGGAGCTGGTCAAGGGCCTCCTGGAGCTGTGCCTGCTTCTTTTGGGCCTCCTCCATCTTGGGCAGGGCGTGGATCACCGCCCTTGAGATGGCCTCCACGTGTTCTTGGTAGGTAGCCTTCAGCTCTTTCCATTGCTCCTTGGCTGCAATGGCCTTCTGTCCTGAGATGAGCCACCAGAATGAGACCCTGAGTGAAGGCAGGCCTGCTAGCCTGAAACACTGCGGCCTCAGCCTTTCCACCAGCTATAGAGCTTTCTTCCTTCCCCACCCAAGGCAGCCCCTATCCCAGCCCCCTGGCTACTCACGGCTCCTGTCTTCAGAAGCCAAGGGGTCCAGGCCCTGGACGATGTCCTCCTGAGCCAAAAAGTTCTGCAGGAAGTCCACTACCTGAAGCTGGCTGCAGAGCAGCTTGTCCTTCTTCCGGGAATCCTATCAGAGGGAGGAGAGAGGCAGGGAACATCCTTACCCCCTTGTACCTAGGCCCACAAGGCTGCCTTCCAGTTTGCTCACCATCAGTGCTACCCACCAGCCCAACAGAAGCACCCAGCAGCAGTCCCTGGCTTTATGAAAAACTAGCTGCCACCTTGAACATACCATCACAAACTCAGCCAGGATCTGTCCGGGCGGTTCTGCCTCTTCCCGCAGGCCTATAGGCTCCAGGACGTTTGCCAGCTTGGCCAGGGCCCTGAAGGGGCAAGGAAACAAGGGAAACGGCAGGCTCCTGGGGGGGCTCAGATCTGATAACTTCTGTACACACGTAGCTACATGTACCAATGCTGAGAGACTCCTCCGACCAGCATCTACCCACCGGGCTAAAGGACCCTCTGCAACCCCGAACTGTGTGTGTGTGTGTATGGAAGACACATGAAGGGAATAAGTACCATGAGCAAAAATAAGTAGGGCAAAAGGGAATAAGGAGGGGAGGGTGGGGAGCGTCTCACTGAAGAGAAACCATTTGAGTCAAAGGAAAAGTACTGGGAAAGGGAAAAATAAGGCAGAACTGATGGGCAGTGGGCAGAGAGCAGGGTAGAATCTTAGAATACTTGGGGAGAGGCTCGGGACCAGGGCTAGATGCCCAGGCACAGGTTCTTCCTTGTTAGGGGCTGGAGCGGTCCGCTGGGAGGCAGGAATCAAGAAAGAACCACCCAGTGGGAGAGTGCATTGGGACAGGCGAGACAACAATGAAATGGCCCTTCCAGGAGGTCTCCTGCAGGTGCAAAATCCATGGTTATGATGGCACAGCCCGCCAAGGGAGTGGGGGGTTGACAGCGATGAAACCCTCCCCTTCCATGGCACACCCCCGGGAAGCGTGCAAACGGGGAGTGACCGGCAGTCCCTCCGAGGCCCTCATGCTGGAAACAAGGCATCTTAGGACCTAAGACTAAGGTCGGGGGTCAGGATCCCTTCCCCGCGGGGTCCAGGAAGCTGCCAGCTGTTCGCGGGGACCGGCAAGACACACCGCGGCCCGCCCCTGGCTGGGCGGCCACCTGACGGCAGACAGCACTTACTCTGCGGCTGCGGCCTCGGCCTCGGTCTCCGCCACCTCCATCATTCCCGGCGCTGCGTTTCAGCCCGACCCTCCGACCCGCCCGAATCACTCTTTCCGTTTTGAATCCACCGCCCAAGCGCGCCGGAGCAGGCGATTGGTTGCCCGGTTAGTGGGCGGGACCGAGGAGCATTGTGCGCTCTGATTGGTAGGCGCTTACTCACGCATTGGAAGCGCCTTGCTGTTTGGCGCAGGCGCAGTGAGAGCTGGTCTTGGAGGGCGCGCAGGAGTCCTGCGCCTGCGCACAAGCCTGCAGGCGGAGCTGGAGGCCGGAGGTGGAGCGTTAGCTCGGTGGTGCCTTAGCTGTGCGGAGGGGAAAGCATTGCACTGAGTTTGGGTTTTGGATGAGATGACCAGACATCCCGCTTCTGGCGGGACAGTCCCGATTTTCAACAATTTGTCCCGCGCCCCGCGGCATTTTTAAAAGGTCCTGATTTTTGGAAAGATTCTTTCCAAAAATCGAGACTTTTTTTTTTAAAAAGCCGCGGGACAAATGGTTAGAAATCGGGACTGTCCCGCCAAAAGCGGGATGTCTGGTCACTTTAGTCTTTGGAGGAAACCCTCAGCATTAGTTTTATTATTTTTAAAAAAATTATGCGATAGAAATAGAGCAGTGGGTCCGTCTTCCAAGGCACTTGGCTTCAGTAACGGAGAACAGTGCTGCTGGAGACACAGGGAATAAATGAGATCAGCTCAGAAAGCTTACTGCCTTTAAAGACTTTCCAGGATGCGGTGCTGGGAGAGAGAACCCAAGCCCATTACCTGAGCTGACAAGATCACGCTGAAATTCTGGGGGAACCAAAGCAGGTGTTGGCAGCAGCAGCGTTTAGGAGTAAGGAGATGCTCAGAGAAAGAACTAAGCTCTGCAGAGTTTTCCCCAGTGTTCAGCTGAGAACTGAGCAAAATGGCTCTGGGGACAGTACCCGAAAGGAGTCTTAAATATTCCTAGAGATCATGTAGACTCAGAAATTATAACTGTATCCACCAGTCAGGCTAGAAAGCTTAATCCATGGGGCACTGGGGAGAGTACACAGACAGGTCATGCCTTAGTAGGAAACAATTAGCCCTAAAATGATCACTGCTCCAGAGCCAACTAACAAATCTTAAAAGCAAGACCCAACTAACCCTAAGCACAAGAACAATTTGATCAAACTGTTAACAAATCGCTTAAATATATGACAGACCAACGTTCAATAATATTTGTAGAAATGCAAAAATGTACAAAAAAAACACACAATAAGATAGTGTTTACAATGCCTGGCATTAAATTAAAACATTATCTAGCTGGCAAAAAGAGAAAACAGAACCCATAACAAGAAGAAGAAAAAAATCTGTCACTAATCAGCACAGAAATATATGTTAGAATGAACAGACGATGACATTAAGACACTTTTATAACTTTCATTTGTTCAAAAAGATAAGCAGAGTTATAATAAAAAGAATAAGGTAAATATGAGGAGAGAGTTTGATGCACACATTGCTGCTGAGGATGTAAAATGATGCATCTGCTTTGGGAAACAGTTTGACAGTCTCAAAATTTTGAACATAAAGTTGCATTTGAACCACAATTCCACTCCTAGGTTTATGTCCAAGAAAAATGAAAATGTGCGCACAAATCTTGTACACACACATCCATGGCAGCATTTTATACCAGGGCCAAAAGGTAGAAAAGCCCAAATACCCATCAGCTGGTGAATGTTAAAATCTATAACCCATTCAATAAAATATTTTCAGCAATAAGAGAGAATGAATTACTGGCACATGATGAAACATGGATGGATCTTGAAAATATCATGCTAAGTTTTTAAAAAAGCAACAATCCCAAAAGAGCACATATAATATGATCCCATTCATATGAAATGTCTAGATTAAGCAAATCTAGAGAAACAAAAAGTATTTTAGTGGTTTTCTAGAGCTGGGGCTGACAGGGTTGGGAGGTGACTGGGCACAGGCTGTGGAGTTTCATCTAAGGAGGGAATGAAAATGTTCTAAGATTATGGGAAGATTGCACAATTCTATTCAAACAGCCATTTAGTTAAACTTTAAATGTTTTAAGATAATTTATGGCTGTTTTCTAAAGCATGTTTAAGACAGTTGCTTTTAAAATTATTGTCAAATAATTACAATATTAGATTAATATCCATATTGGCATTTGTTGATTGTCCTTTCTCTTTACATTGTGGTTCTCATGTTTCTTGGTACAATGAATGATTTTTTAATTGTATCCTGAACATTTTGTTTATTTTGTTAGGAGACTTTTGTTTCTAAGTTTGTTTTTTTTTGTTTTTTTTTTAAATCGGGCGATTGCCCTGTTTATTATGTAAGCTAGAGTCTATTTCTCTGAGCTTTAATTTCCATGGAAGTTTAGCTTCTGAGTCCTTGCAGTGTTATTCATGTCTGCTTTGTCTTCTAGTCCTGCTAAGACTCCTGCTCAACCCCTACTGGTGCCATCTGCAGGGTCAAAGGCAATCTCATGGGCTGAGGGAAGAAGCCACTGGGCTTAGTTCATTTATGCCCCTGGGTAGAAGCTGGGAAGTCAGGGGGCTTTGCTGCTGTGATCCCTGTGAGATGGGACCACTCTCTGAGGCCTAGTTCTGGAGTAGGGGATAGGATAGCTCAGACTGCTTCTGTAGCTGCTGGGAGATAAACCACTCACCTGCCCTGAGTTATAGAGCAGGCTCTGCTGCTGCCACGGCTGCTAGTGAATCTGACCTTCCCTAGAGGTCTTATTTGTGGAGAAGTGCTTGGGGATTCCCACTATGTCTCTGATAGCCTCTATTTCCCCAGTCCTTTGGTCAGAAAGAGCAGGTTTTCCCTTTTTGTATTCTTTTTTTCTCTTTTTATTTCTAAATCCATTGATCATTCCTTGCTGCAGGCCTCACCACCATCCATCCAGTCCAGGGTAGGTGGGAGATCAAAAAAACAAAAACAAAACACCAGGGTACTCACCATGCTTTTCCTCAAATCCTGTCCACACTCTTCTTTTTAGCGTTTAGAGTCTGCTAAGTAATTTCCAGGGAATATGTTTATACTTAGAAGGAAAATAGCCTTAGCTATTATTTTTATAGCTGTTGTTATAACTTACCTTTTTATATACTTAGAAATTACAAGTGCTTCAAAAAAAACCCCAAACACCTGTGAATATATGAATTAACAATTGAATAGTTGCCTGGTTAAAAGAAAGGAGGAAAGGAAAGAAGGAAAGGAAGCACAAAGGAAGAAAAAAAGGTGCAGCCAGCATGGCTCAGTGGTTGAGTGTCAACCTATGAACCAGGAGGTCACTGTTCAATGCCCAGTCAGGGCACATGCTCAGGTTGAGGGTTCGATCCCCAGAATGGGGCATGCAGGAGACAGCCAATCAATGATTCTCTCTCATCATTGATGTTTCTATTTCTCTCTCTGCCTCTGCCTTTCTTTCTGAACTCAATGAAAATATTTTTTTTAAAAGGAAGAGAAAAAAAAAAAGGGAAAGAAAGACACTGTTGTCAGTGGACTGTTCTAATAATAACATTATATATTGGAAATAACTTCAGTCTCACTTGTGTTGCTAGCCAATGTGGAATTATTGGCAATCAACTGAAATTCTGTAAACTTGTATTTTCTCATTATAAAATAAAATGCTTTGCTTAAAACTTGTTATCCCTTCCAGTCATGTATGCTGTGGCTCTCGAACAGTTCTGAAAGTCATGATTAATGCTCTACTTAAAGTGGTCTGCTGTTAAGCTTATTGTTGTAAACCCTGGGGAGGCATGCGAACCCTTTGACACAGCTGTGAGGTAGTGGGAAACAGCAGCAAGTCAACTGAATTGGTATAAAACAATAAGGGGTTTTTCCATTTCTCTAATCAATGGCATATGTGGGGCATGGATCAAAGAGGTTGAACTGCCAAAAGGCTCAATAGAGCTCTTACCTGTGAGCAGCTGGTCACACACTTATTTTTCCAAATATGTTCACATATTGAGAGAAACCACCCACCGGCTATTATCTTTGAACACTAAGGACAAACAAACGGGTCATGACTAATGCCTACCCCACTGCTAATGCCGTCTGTGCCTTTGTCTGAACTTGTGTTTCCAGTCTAATGGATATTTCATTTAACTGATAACCTGCCTGTTGTTATACCATTAGCACCTAAACTTTTTATGTGACAAGTCGCTGGGAAGGTGCTGAAGATGAATCTGGTTACTATTATATTTTGGTCCCAGCTCACTAACGGCCTTTCATAAAGAGTGTTATCCAAATCTGGTAAGTGATAAGAAGATTGTCAACAGCAGAGAGCAATATAAAAGTGCATCATTAAACTACTGTTAGACCATAAATATAATTTATACACATACATGTATGCATATATTTATCTGTAGTTTCAGGTGTGTGCACTAGCCTAGGTATGCAGTATGCTCCATAATAAAATGTCATTCCGGTTGCTCTTTTCAGATCCAAATACAGACTGTTCAGAGTTGACATTATGATTGCCTTTTATTCTTCTTTTTCCTGAATGGAAGTAGAACATTCTAAAAGATATTGCATTTTCCCCCACCCCCACACTCCAAATGAAAGGTTTGCAACAACGCTGCACTGAGCTAGTCAGTAGGGGCCATTTTTTTCCTAATAGCATTTGCTCACCTGTCTATTAGGTGATTGCTTGGGAGACCAAACACTTTAAGTACTATTTTACTAGGCCCTACATGATACGTACCCTGCTTATAACTCTTTCAGACTTGTTTTCTCCTTCTCACTCAGTCATTTCCTCACCCACTGCCTCCCCACTGCAAAGTAAAGCATGCTTTCTTTTACCCTTCCCCTTTATCATATACTCTACCTTTGACTAAAATGCTATATGTTTATTTTGAAATGAGCACTCATATTCCATCCCAAACTTTGACATCAGTTCTGGAAAGCATTTACTGTTGATTCAGACATAATTAGGTAAGTGCTCCTTTTCTGTTCTCCTTTATCACTTTATAGCATTTGGTAAATATTTCTGATCACATAGTTTTATTTTGTTTTCTTTCATTGACTTTTCAGAGAGACAGGAAGGGAGGGAAAGATAAACATGGATGTGAGAGAAAAACATCGATTGGTTGCCT